CGAGCGCCGGGCCGCGGAGCGGGAAGAGGGCGGCAAGAGGGGCGAGGGCAATAAGGGCGGCGAGAGGGGGCGCGGGGGAGGGGGAGGAGGGATGGCGGGGGGAGGGGGGGGTGGGGCGGCGGAAGGGGAAGCGCGGAAGGAGGGGGGAAGGGAACGCGGCGCGCCGCGAGAGCGCGGCGCCCGCGGCGGCCCGGCCCCCCGCCGGGACCTCCCGAGGGCGCGGCGCCGGAGCGCAGCGCGCGCAGGTGGTGCGGAGGGCGCGCCTGTCGGGTCTGTCGGGTCTGTCGGGCCTCGGCCGCGCCGGCCAGGCCCGGGGGGGGCCTCGCAAGCGGGGCCCTCGACGGCTCGCGCCGCGTCGCCGACGCCGCGCGGATGCAACGGCGATGCGTCGGCGACGTCAGCGATGCATCGGCGACGTCGGCGCGGGGAACATCGGGCTCCACGTCGAGCCGCGCCCCCTCCGACCCCCTCTACTCTGGCCCCATCATTTGGGAGGGCTGGTCCAACGCAGTCGTCGTGCTACGAGAAGCGGTCTCTGGGGTCGGGCCGAATGCTCCAAGAGACACACGTCGAACCTCGAGTAATCAAACCGGCTGCGACACCTGCGTGATACGCTGCGGGAGAAACACCATTTTCGCCCGCCACGACAGCTGCGAGGGCAGCCAGACATGCGGCAGCCGCAACCGAATTTGCAACGCACTTTGAAACGCACCCCCCCCCCCTGCGCCGCACCGGGGCGCGACGTGCCGGGAGGCGGCGACGCAGCGCGACCCCCGCTGCGACCGCGGCGCCCCGCCGAGACCACATGGAGGCGCGCCGCGACACTCTCGAGAACGCACCCGATGTCCTCGAACCGAAGATGCCGTTCTCCCGCGCTGTCCGGCCGAGTGCCCCCACCGCGCTCGTCGTCTTGCGGATATGGGAAAGGTGCCGCAACTCCATCATCGCCCCTGCAAGGGCAATCCGCCGCGAGAGCGGCCCCGCGCCCAGGACAGGACGGCCTGCCCAATCTTCACGGCAACAACCTCTCTTTTGTTCAACATCAACAATGGAGGCGCAGCTGCCAAGGCCCCTCAACTCGCGACTTCGGAACGTGTAAACCGCCTCTGACGTTCGGCGGCAACCGACCGTTCAATGCGCTCCATGGTACGAGGCCTCCTCCACATGGCCGTGCCATGGCGCGGGTACTTCGCGGCAGCAGCCCCCCTGACTCTAATCGCATCTGTACTCCGCGCATCGCGGAAGAGGAAATCTCCACCATCGCCCTTTGAGCCCGTTCGTGCGTTTTCCTGCGTTCTCTTGTGAGCGTCACGCGTGCTCCACCGTCGTCCAGCTCGTCGTTGCTCGATCACTCGTCCCCCGATGCGGTGCTGCAGGAGGGGAAGGTTCTCTCTTGTTTCGGCGCGCATCGCCCTCGCTTCTGAAGCGGTTCGCGATCATTTTGCAGACCGAAGGACATGGATGAAACCGGGGGCCGTGGGGGAGGTAGTGTCCGCGTGCCAGATCCTTCTTCTACCTGCACGCTCTGCCGACGAGCGCGCTGCACCTGGACTTTGCAATGGCGCCGAAGATCTGTTGAACATCCACGTCATGCAGGTCCGTGCGATGTGCCCGACTTGTAAAAAACAGTTGGACGCGAAATTCGAATCGAATCGCCAGCGACGGCGGGGGGTGCGAGCAGCTTGGGAGATGCCATCAGAGCTCTCGCGAAGATGCCCATTGGGTTCACGAGCTGTTGCCCACGGAGGCGGACCATTTTTTGTTCGAGCAAATATTTTAAACTAGTGGTGCGCGCCTGGGCCACGCAACTAACACCTGCCCCTTCAACCGGAATAGATACGGACAGAGGGAGGCTTAGGACAAAGAGATAGGTGGAGGTACGGTACAGCTACTACCGCAATGATGTTATTTGATGAGCGAAGCGTTTTGGGGGTTCCAAGACACGACGAACGTGCTAAACGTCATTTTTCTCAACCGAGACAACACATCGAAGTTGCATAAGACCTGTTTCTCCTGAGGCGCACAAGAGTAGGGGGCGGGGGGGGGGGGGGGAACGACGAAGGGGGGAAGGGGGGGGAAAGGGGAAGGGAGCGGGGAAGGGGCCAACCACACGTCAAACTCTCGTCGAAGGCCCCCGTCAAACTATCGTGGCACTTCGAGCCTGGCAATGTTCCATGGCATCGGAACATATCTGAACGTCAGATTCTGGCTGGCCGCGGAAACGAGTCGTCGCTCTGAAAATTTCGTGCGCGGCTAGCGCTGCCAGCCCGAGCTCGCTATCCCCGACGCTGCTAAGATACAAGGATATATCTAAGCTCACTGCCTTGAGGCCGAAGAGCCCGCTTTTGAGCGTGGACACCAATGGGCACACGGCGTAATGTTCAATGCAATCTCGCGCAGTGCGGGAGCAACCCAAATTGCAAGGCCCAACCTGTTGGAATCGGCGTGCCGTGCACCAGCTGTGCCACTGCGCCCCCCAGATTATAGCAAACACTTGGGGCGGTACCATGCGGCCCAAATTCTCGAACATTCATGGCACTCTGCGTGTAAGCCGACAAAATAGAGTTGGCATCGCCGTCCTTGTGAGCTTCTGGTTGAAGTGGAGTTCAATTTGCTTAGACTGAACGTGGTGCGCCCGAGTCGCTTGTGCAAGACCCATTGATCACCACTCACCCAGAAACCTAGCGATCTCGCACGAGTGACTGCCGACTGGACCATAGAGACAAAATGCGAACAAGACCAGTTCGGCCAAAAGGCGAAACGAACACGGAACTGCGCGAACCACCTGACCCACACCAGCTCGTCAGCCAGTGCGCTGCAATCCTTCATGACTAAGACTGTTCAACTTCGCGCACATATCGAATAATGGAGCGCGCCCATATAGGAAACCCCTCTGCATAAGGAACGCACATGTGTCAGCGAACGGTCCCAACAAGTGCTGGCAATAGCTGGCAATAAGCCTGTTGCTTGCGCTGGTTAAACAACGGCCAGGATTGCGGGCGGGAGCGTATATAACTCCCCGAGGACATGGGTGCGTACCCGCGGACTTCTCCGAGAATCAACGGACAAAACTCGCATGAAATGCGGACGGACCGCATCGCCCGCAGGGTTATCATGTGGCGAGACCGCGTTCATTGACGGGCCGGCTAAATCCTCAAGATTCCCCCACGACCGGTACGGAATACCATCGGGGCACGGCGAAAAGTCGCAGGATGCACACCTGGCCTGGACCAGATGTGAAAAACTGCGCTGCCACTCGGGGTGCTCAGCAGGCAATTCCACGCTAGAACACTTGTTAGCCAGCGTGGGCCCGGAAAAAACAGCGTTTTGGATGCGCGAGCTATGTTGTACAATTTGTGGTGCCAGCTATGTGGTGCAAGCTATGTGGTGTAAGCTATGTGGTGATATCCACCCTGCAGAACTTGAAATCGTCAACTCCACTGCTCGCGCAATCACCCCACCCTCCCACCGGCAACTGGTATTGCGCAACCCGTGCGATCGCGATAGCGATGACTACTTCGCACTGGCTGGCGAACCTCTGCGGGTGCGCAAACGCGTGCATGCTCGCACGCAGAGCGGCCAGCCAGTTTGGCACAACCGACGCGGCCGCGATGGCGCTTATTGGCTCCAGTGCATCTCGAAGGCCGCGCTGGCGCGCGGGAACTTCAGTGCGGGTCAGTGACTCGGGCGGACGCGATATCATGGTGACGCAGATTCTCTTGCGATTTCAGAAAATGTGCGCGGGCATTATATTTGCAAGATGTGTGATGATAAACCGGATGGTCCTTGATTTTTTTTTGTTGGTTTGCTTGCAGATCTTGCGCGCATGGTATGATTTCGGCATGTACGCGCGCGTGTGGACGTTGTGCAATTGTTTGCAATGGACTCTTGAGCACAAAGCTTCCGAGATGAACGAGTGCGCGCGCATACTATTATTTGATAGAGATGAGCGGGGGGTGTCGAGACTGGCCTGTATGGGATTGTAAGTGCCCATATGGAAAATTAAGGATGAGGCAACATCGTACGTAATCTGCAATGTCCCAGGGGGTGTCTGTAAGTCCGGGCTCAGGAGGGAGGGGACATCTGTACAAAGAACCTAGGTGGTGCAAGCCATGCGGTGCAAGCTATGTGGTGCCATCCTGGAACAACCACGGTCGTGGCAAAAGGCGAGCGGCAACTGATCAGAACGTGGCGAGCCCTGTGCAATCCTCGGGACACCTTCACAGGCGGCAACGGGGCGGCAACGAGCCGGAACGCGGCGAATATTTCAGAATACAAATCTTTAGAAAAGGAAGAACCTCTGAGTGCAAGCACTGTTTTGGGAAGACTGGACGCACCACATTTGCCGTCTGTCTAAATCCACCGATCGACGGGTGAAAACATCGCCCCAACGTTTCATCAAAGGAGCCGCCACTTCCTTGGGTTCAGATGCGAACTCCTGATTGTCCAGCGAAGCAACAGCAGAGAGTCGGGCACTCTCCAGGAAGAAATCCCTGCAATTTTCACCGAATGTTCCTTGTGAACTGCCAGATCAAGCTTGGGCAAACTATTCCGCTAGACCCTGAGGGCGCCCACCTCATCCAAAAACTTCCCTCTGGGAAGGTGGAAGAGGAGGGAATGGAGGAGAAGGCAGCGGGAAGAGGGAGGGGAAGGAGGGAGGGGTCGAGGGAGGGCGTTCGAACGGAGGCGCTTCTGGCCTCCAAGATTCCCCAACCGTCGGATGGCAGCCCGACTGGTGAGATCTCCAGGAGTTCAAGGTCGTCGGGCCTCTGATACAAGCGGAGGAGGAACCAGACGGAACGCCAATGGATTGGCCGTTCCGCCAAGACGAGGACGAGATGGAGGGGTCGGGGCGAGAACGAGCATGGAGGAGGTGAGGGGAGGACGGAGGAGGCATGGGAATGACGAGGTGGAGGCCGCTGGGCCCCGAGAGGTTGAGGGGGGACGAGGTGGAGCATGGAGGAGCACTGGGACTGGCCCGCTCCGCCAGGACGCGAGTCCTCGACGACGGGGAAGCCGTTCACCTCAGAGCTCGGAGCGACCCTCTGGTGGAGCCGCCTCCTGCTACTCTTCATCCTCCTCCTCCTCCTCATCCTCACTGCTCCCTCCTCCTCCTCCTCCTCCTCCTCCTCCTCCTCCTCCTCCTCCTCCTCCTCCTCCTCCTCCTCCTCCTCCTCCTCCTCCTCCTCTCTGCTCCTTCCTCGTCCTCCTAGTCCTCCGAATCCGCATGCTTTTCCTCCTGCTGCTGCTCCTCCTAGACCTCCACCTCCCTCCTCCCTTCTCCTCCGTCCTCCCCCTCCTCCTCCTCTGTCCTCGTCCCCTTTCCTCCGCCGTCCTCCTCCACATCCCAGTCCTCCTCCTCATCGCCCACATTGATACCGCGACACCATGCGGCCGGACGCTCGACGGACGGACGGGCGCCACAAAAGCAGTCCGAATCACCGCGGCCGCGACGGCTCTCGGAGGCTCCCCAAGTCGAGTGCCATGAGCCCGCTCCTGGGGAAACGCGTCCCAGGCCACGCGGGAGGTATGGAGCCCGCCTTCTGGAGAGGAAGCGCCCAAGGCCACGCGGGAGGATGTTGATGGAGCCCGCTTCTGTGGAGGAGCATCCGAAACCACGCGGGGGTACGGAGCCCACTCCTGGGGAAGAGCGTCCCAAGAGCGGCAAGACGAACACAGAACCAGCTCCTGGGAAGAATATCCCAGGCAACGCGTGAGAAATGGGCACAGCACCTCAGACAGGACCCCGCACCATGCTATAGAATCTGTCACCCACAAGCAACAGGAGGATGAGGAGGACACTAAGAGTACGAATGATGCGAGGTGAGTCTACACCCCCTGGGTACAAAGGCCGCAGCAGGAGGCTGGAGGCTAGCCTATGCTATCGTCCTCTCTGCCATACAAACGGCCACAGGAATGCGGATCCAACAAAACAGCTGGGCGACCACGAGACGGGCGAGCAACCACCTAGGCAGAAACCGCAACCAGGGGCAGCACAGCCCGCGGGTCGCCTGCCAGCAACGCTGAACCTGGGACCCACGGCGACTAAGATTGTGTACCAGCTTCAACTGTGCTTCTGTGGCCGCCATGCTCCTTCTCCGCCTCCTCCTCCTCCCACTCCTCCTCTTCCTCCTCCTTCTCCTCCTCCTCTTCCTCCTCGTCATCGTCGTCCTCCTCCTCCTCATCATCACCCTCCTCATCATTATCAGTCTCATCATCATCCTCATCCTCATCATCATCATCACCAGCATCATCATCATCATCATCATCATCATCATCATCCTCATCCTCATCATTATCATGCCCGACGATGGTATTTCCGAGGCCAGGTCGGAATATGTTAGACAGCAAGAGGCAGCACCGTGAACGACACTGGGGCCGGCAAGAGAGATAACTCATCAACCGAATTCGTGCTCTGGCAAACGGCCCCACGGCCACGGCGAAGCCTTGCAGCAGCAACAGGGCGGGAGGGTGGGAGCTCGAGAGCCGAATGCTATTGACAAGAGACAACGCGTTCTGCATTCGGCCTCTCCCTTCCCCTCTAGAGGCATTCAACTTCAATAGAAACGTCCATGCCCGACGATGGTATTTCCGAGGCCAGGTCGGAATATGTTAGACAGCAAGAAGCAGCACCGTGAACGACACTGGGGCCGGCAAGAGAGATAATTCATCAGCCGAATTACTGCTCTGGCGAACGGCCCCACGGCCAAAACATCCCGAACAATCTGGAGGGCTACTCCTCTGATGTTAGCTGCCTAGCCAGAGCGGTGTGACTGACAGCGCCTCGGGGTGCAGTCTGGCACCGCCGAGCGCGCGAGCCCATCGTCTCGCGAGCGTCTTGGGATAGGCTTGCGCAACTAAAGTCCACAAAGGCCTTCCAGGAGCTTTTCCCCCTTAGAATTTGATGAGGGTGACCAGTCCTACTACAACAAGTACGAGAGCCAGTGCATAAGCGAGCGAAAGCCGAGACATCAACACGATAACCTAGGAGACCAGTCGGCTTTTTCCACGCTGTCCCATCTTGGCAAAAACGTGCGACAGCCCAGAAAAATGATGTTGCTTACGACAGCTTTGCAGAGACGGAATGAGCCACAGTCTAGACATCGCGGGATTCTCGACTGTAAAAGGGATCTGCAGACGCTTACAACTGGCCCAAAAATTCTCACAGCATCTCACTAGCTGATTGGCGGTCGTGATCTGGGCCCGGTCCACTGGGTGCGTCACAACTGCAAGCCCCCAGAGCTCTGAGTCGGAGCGAAGACGGCTCGGCCAGGACGGAGGCCCGCCTGGCACGCGCAGCGGTCCGGTGTCTCGGACTCTGGACCACGTCTCACAGGGCGCGCCGACATGCATGCCCCAGATCAGGCCGGCGTCCAACCAGCCCCGCAGCACGCGGGATACCTTCGGGCCGGTGAGGTCCCAGTCGGCGCCCCAAGCGATGTCCCATTCGATGACCAGGGCGCCATCGCTCCGCAAGGCCGCGGCAAGCACGCCTTCGCCGGAGAAGACCTCCACGAATATCGGCGGCGCCAGGAAGCGCCTGCGGCGGGGGCCCAGCAACCTCCTCAGCGCCAGCCGAGGAGAGAGGCCAGCCGTGCTGGGGCCAGCAGGGCCGCGCGCTGCACCTCGGGCGCCAGCCTCTGCAGCTTCTCGTTGACGCGGCCTGGCTCGAGGTAGCGCGCGACCGACGCGTCGGTCCGCCAGCGGCCGCGAAGCTTGACGCTGGCCAAGGTCCGCAACTGCAGTGCCAGCTCCACCGACGGGCCCGAGTGCCGCAGCTGGTGCAGCTGCGGGGTGAGCGACGCCAGCCCCATGTCCTCCGCCGCCTCCTTGAACAAGGAGCTGACGCGCACGAGGGGGAACGAGAACAGCGGCTCGCTCGGGTGGGTCGCCGCCTTGAGCCAGCGGAGAGCGCTGGGCAGGAAGCTGTAGAAAGGCAAGTCGAAGGGGATCACCTCGTCGTAGACCTGAGTCTTGCTGGGCACTGCCAGCTCGCGAGGATGGAGTACCAGTGACCAGCCGTCGCACGCGCCCCCCGGCGTCGGGGGGATCAGGTGGGCCCCCAGGGCCAGCAGCGCCTCCGACGGCCGCAGGTGGCCCGCGAAGGTCACCAGCACGTAGAGGGCGACCAGCAGCTGGCCCCGATCGATCAGGCGAGTCGCGATGAGCGCCACGATCTCCCAGGGCAGCGGGAGCCCAGTGCGAGCTGGCACTCGCCTCCGCCAGCCTCGCAAGGCCTGCAGCGCCTTCGGCAGCCCCTGGCCCCCGCGCCCGAACTGCGGCATCGTGAACTTCAGCGCCGCCAGCATGTAGGCCCCGCGCTAGGGGTTCCAACCCTCGGCGCACTGCTGGCCCATCCAATGCGACAGCAGGTCGCCCGCTGTCTCGGTGCGGAGGGCCACGGTCACGGTCGTCACCCAGGCCACGAACTCGGCCCAGAGGCGCGTGTACTTGGCCCTCGTGGTCGCCGAGATCGAGAGGGCCCTCAGGACATGGCCCGCCGAGGAGCGAAGGGGGGCTGCCTCGGGCGCTCGCGCCGCGGCCCTCCCCGCACGCTTGGCGGCCGCCTCCGCCGCCTTTGACAGGTGGCTGCGTCTCGCCCGGCGCTGGCCTCGCTGCGAGGCCGTCGCCTGGCTGGAGCGCCCCGCTGCTGCCTGGCGCGGGACCGTCGCCACGAGCGGCGCCGGCGTCAGCACCTGCCTGTCCGCCCTCCCGCGCGGCGGCCAGACTGGCGACAGCATCCCAGCGCAGCCGCGCGCCGATCCTCAGCGCCTGGCGGGAGGCCCACTGGCGGCAGATGCGCGCCATCCTCGGCCGCGAGGAGCGGCCCTTGGTCAGGGCCAGGACGGCGACGAGACTGTCTGAGAGGAAGAGGACACGATGGCCATGCTGCCCGGCGTCCCGAAGGACGTGCTTCACGGCGTGGATTAGGGCCCTCCCCTCCAAGGTTGCGACGTGCTCCTCCCTCTCCCAGGCCCCGCTCGAGATGGCAACCCAGCCCCCTGAGATGCGATGCACTTCCAGAGGCTCGAAGTCGGTATCCCGGGGCTCCGCGCGGGGGCTGCCTGCGTCCATGGGGGCGACGGGCTCCTGGATGTGCGACGGGGCGCTGCAGACGTGACCTTTCGAGGGCGGCTCGGAGTAGACGAGGGCCTCCTGGGGCTCGATGGGGCTCGATGAGCTGCTCCCAGGGCGCCCTCGCACTGGGGTCTCGGAAGCGCCAGCGCTCCTGGATCCTGCCCATCCTCTCCACCACGTCGTTGCTCACTTCACGCCCGCATGCCCCTCGGCCCCACACGGAGGCATCCGCGCGCAGAACTCGGCCCAGCCAGCGGGCCCGGAGGTCGGCGTGGGCCAGCGGGACAACCCCCATGGCCCGCGTCAGCTCTCGGCGCACGCTGGGCCACCAAAGCCTAGGCGCCTCACCGGCCTTTGCGATGAAGCGGTACACGGCCGAGAAAACTGCCAGCAGCGGGCGCCTCGCCATGAAAAGGAAGGCGTAGTGGCCCGCGACCTGGCGCACCTGCTGGGCCGAGACCCTCGGCATGGCGAGGAGCGCGCGCGTGGCCAGGATGATCCTCCAGGCTCTCCGAGGCGAAGGCGCGACTGCCCCCCGCGCGCCATCGATGACCCAGCCCAGCACCTGCGCGTGGAGCAAGGCGGCCTCCTCCCCATGCACCGGGAAGCCCTCGCTGCGCAGCTCGGCGACCATGTCATCCTTCAGGCGGTCGGCGGTGTCACCGTCGAGGGCGAGGGGGGCGAATTTGTCGACGTGCACGAGGTGCGCGCCGGCGCCCAGGCTAGGGCCGGCCCTCCGGTCCGCGATCCTGGACAACACTGGCAGCCCTGCGCGGTCGGCGGCCGCCTCCGACACCCGCCGGCAGACGGCCAGCGCGTGGGGCCATGGGCAGCACCGCGAGCCGCGGCCAGAGCCGCTGCGCGCGCGGCTGCCCGGGGGCGGCCTCCCGCCCAAGCCTCCAGGAGTCCAGCGGAGGGAGCGCGAAGTACGGCCTCCAAGCGTCCAGCAACTGCGCGTTGTAGAAGGCGTCCACGATGTCCGCCGAAGCGGTCCACAAATTGGCGCCGTCCGGCAGCTCGATCGCCGCCAGCGCCGCGCCGGTGGCCAGGTGGACGCCCTCGGGGTCGCCGAACCAGAAGTTGGCGGGGCGGGCGCCCACGACCAGCCGCTGCTTCCCACTCTTCTTGGCCACGCTGAACAGGCCAACCTCGTCGACCACCAGGGCGGCGTCGCTGACGAGGTCGACCGCCCCGGCCTCGTGGAGACGCCTCACCAGCGCTGCGTAGCGGCGAGGGTCTCGAAGGCAGGGGTCCGAGTAAGGCTTCTTGAAGCCAGCGCTCTGCTTCCGCTGCAAAACCTCGGTATTTGGCAAGACCTTGCACGTGATAACGCGATAGACGGAGTCGAAAACCTCGGCCCCCAGCAGCTGCTCCAGCGCCACGGGGCGGTTACCTGGAGGAGGTAGCGAGAGCCGGGAGACGTCCATCGCCTCCGCCCTGGTCGACAGCGAGCCGTCGTAGGACAGAGCAGCCTGGAGCTCCTGCGGGGCTGCCAAAGGCTGTAGGTCGCCTGGCGGGGGGCCCAGCTGGGAGACGGAGTCCGCGACCCGCGTCAGGGACTGCTGCTGCGCGAGCGTCGCGCCAGCCCGCGGCAGCGAGCCACCCTGCACCCAGCACCGCTGAGGCCATTGAGCGCCTCGACCGCCTGCCGCATGAGCCAGGGCGCGGACGCTGCGCGCCGCGCGCGCCGCCGCACGGCTCGGGAACAGACGCCAGCAGCCAGCCCGCCAGGATCGGCGGCGCCAGGCACGCGCAGCGGAAAGAGGTCCCGCTGCCGCTCCGCGCCCGAGCCGTCGAAAGTGCTATGTACACCCTCAGCGCCACTGGCAGTCGCCGAGATGGGCCCCGATGCCGTAGCGCCCGGGGGAGCTGGGCCACAGGGCCCCCCCGGGCATGAGAGAGTCATGCCTAGGCTCCGCCGGCTTTCGGCCCAGCGGCGGCCTTCGCCTCCTCCCGCAGCTTGCGGGCGTTCTTCTTGATCTGACTGATGCGCTCGAGCTCCTTGCCGACCACATCAAGCAGGGCGGGGCGCGCCATGCTGCTTGGGCGACTCGACGGACCCGTGCCGCCCAGGAAAGCGGAGACCTCCTCCACCAGCAGCTTCAGCTGCCCCGCATCCTGCCCCCGTTGCTTCTCGTCCCAGAAGTGCTCGATCAGCTGCGTCTTCCTCAGAAGACGCTCCGCGCCGAGGAGGTTCGTCACGTTCGCCTCGTCGTGCGTGGCGAGGTCCTCGAGCACGGTGGAGAGCGCGCGGGGCTCCGAGACGCCCCAGTCCGAGGAGTTGAGCCCCTTGCGGGACTTCCAGCTCTCGTGGTGCTGGATGGGCCCGCCCTCCCGCAGCAACCGCGCCACGCACCAGCCCGCGGACCTCGGCTGCAAGGTGAAGCTGGGGTCTGCCACCTCCACCGCCGACTCGGTCACTGCGAGCCAGCTCCGCGCCAGGCGAACGCCCGGCGTGCGCGCCAAGATCCTCGCGTCGGTCCCCCGCCACTTGTCGATGAAATCACCTCGCCGCCAGTCCTCCAGGAGGAACGCCATGGCGGAGGTACCTCTGACGATAGTGATGGTCGCTCGTCGGCCCGCTCGCGCTGCCAAGATCGCGCCACCGATCAGGCCGACTGGCACCGCCGAGCCGTAGACGAGGCCGCCTGCATCCTCAGCGAGCACCCACGACCAGCCCGCTGGCGCCTCGCCGTTCGGCCCGAGGGGCGCCGCCGTCGTTCTTCCAGGAGGGTCCTGGAGGCGCTCCGACGGCCGGGGGGGCGCCCGGCGCGATGGGCACGCCAGCCGCCGGGCCTGGCACCGCCGCGGCGAACGGTCCGTCGGGCGCGGGCGGCCCGGCAGCGGCCAGCGCGGCAGCGGCGACCCCGGCCGCGGGCGGTGCGGCGGCAGCCCCATCGGGAGGCGGCACGGGCCCGACGATGGCGGCTGGCGCGACCTCCGCGACGGCGGCCGCCAGCCAGGCCGCCTCGCGCGCCGCCGAAGGGGCCTGGCGGAACCTGTGCGTCGCGCCAGGGTCGATCCCCGGCGGCGGCGGCCACCTCGTAGCCGAGAACCGCACCGCCGAGATGTCGGGCCCCGCCGTCAGCAAGGTCTCGGCATAGACCATGTCATCTGGGGTCACGATGATCACGTCAGTCGTGAGCGCCAGCTGGCCTGCTACCCTCCTCTGGTGGAACAGCGGCGCGCCGACCACGTTGTAGAAGACCCACGCCCACGCCTCCGACATGAGGCCCAGCGGCGAGCGCAGCGAGCGGCGGCTGTGTCCCTGACGCGCTGGCGACCGTCGCGGGTCGGCCGCGGCCTTCCGCAGCACCCCAGCGCGGCGCCCAGAGCCGGAGCGCCGTGAAGGTGCCGAGGGCCCCGAGCGACGCGCCAGCCAGCGCGGCCGTCCCGCAGGCGAGTGCGACAGTGCCTGTGGTCGCGCCCACTGAGGCACCAGGGCAGGGCGGGCAGGCTGGGCAGCTGCAGCCCGGGCACCCTGGGCACGGCGGGAGCTCCACCGCCAGGCAGCGCGCGACCCAGGCCTGGAGCGCGGGGACGCCCCAGCGGTCGATGAGCCCCGCCCAGCCCGCGGGAAGCCCCAGGAAGGCCCCGGCCATGCGCCGCGGCCAAGCCGCGGCCCACCAGCTCGAGAGCCGAAGGCTATTGACAAGAGACAACGCATTCTGCATTCGGCCTCTCCCTTCCCCTCTAGAGGCATTCAACTTCAATAGAAACGTCCATCATCATCAGCACCACCACCACCACCACCATCATCATCATCATCATCATCATCATCATCATCAGCAGCAGCAGCAGCATCAGCATCATAAACATCATAATGTTCATAAGCATCATCAGCATCATCGTCGTCGTCGCCATCGTCATCGTCATCATTATCGTTATCACCACCACTTTTACCATCATCATTAGCATCATCAGCACCAGCATCATCACCATCACCATCACCATCACCATCATACTCACCATCATCATCATCATCATCATCATCATCATCATCATCATCATCATCATCATCATCATCGTATCCACTACCGCCGTCATCATCAGCAACAGCATCATCATCACCACCCCCTGTTCTTCATATTGCATCCTACAGTAGGGGGCCCAACCACAAGAAACCTTCCACAAGAAACCCAAACCTGAGCTCCCAGGACGTCCATTGATTCTTGGCGTGGGAGCGTCACGCTCTCCGTCGCAAAACCATCGAAATCCAAGAAACTCAAGGCACCCTGGAAGCAAGCAGGGTGTTTCTTGGTACGGGTCTCCACTGTATTCCTCCTTCTTGTCGCTCCTCCTCGTCCTGATCATCCTCGTCTCCCTCCTCCTCTTCCTCCTCCTCTTCCTCCTCCCTCTCTTTCCCCACATTCCGCATCCTTCACGCATCCTCCCTTCTACTACCTCAACGCACCCTTTGACCTCCGCATTTCAAATACCGCCTTCGTAAGATTATCAAGCTGGCTGCATTGGTGCTGCGCCATGCACGCCCCCGATAAGCAGCAGGAGATGGGTGGGGGGCGTGGTCATCCTCCATAGCCCCCCTCACGGTCATCAGCCTCATTACGCTTGTGCCCATCACCATACCCGATCTATCCTCTACTCTCCCCTATCCTCGCCTGCCAGTGTGGGATCGGATAGCAGGAAATCATTAATATACCCACTGACTTTCAATTATCACCATCGGCTCGGTCATCCCCGATTACTACTCTCCAGACCATGATGTATATTCTTACCTTCCCGTTGCGGGACGATGTGACGAGAGCACACGACCTGTCCACTGCCGCAAAGGTGCCCTCTCTCCCAATACAAGCGTGACAGAAGGCTCCGTATCCCACGCCATAGATAATAGTTTCGGCCACACCAAAAACATCCAAACGCCAGGCACACTTGTGTGTCCAGGCCAGGATGCTCGTACGCGAAGACGACCATGCCACCAACAGTATGAACGCCGCCACTCCGCGCGCCGTTCGCGCACACGTGAAGGTGTGTGGCCTGCAACCGGGCACTTTCGAAATCGTCTCCCGTCGATAAAGAGATTTGCCGAGTGATTTGGGACTGAGTTGAACTGTTTTTGTCCCAGTCGATGAATGCTGTAGCCTGTAGCCAGGGGAGACGAGCTAATGTGAACGACAAGTGCGAACGACAACCAAGACAGACAGAAAGTTGGGCGTGCAATTGGATCCCGTTTGAGGGGGGTGTCCAGGACCCTCTCCTTCCTCTCCCTCCCGTCGGCCCGTGGTCCCCAGGACCCCCCCATCCCCTACAGATCCGTCGACCAGGACCACCCGCCGTTTCCACAAGAGGGGTGGAGTCCCCCTCCCTCCCCTCCTTGGACTCGAAAATTGTACCTCCCACCTCGCCCCCCCCGTTGGCCACGCCGCCCCCCTGGCTCTGGAACCCTACCCCTGCCACCCTGCCACCCTAACCTTCTCACCCTAAGCCTAGCAGCCTTACCCTAACCCTAGCACCCTAAGTTTGACACCCAAGATCTTATCACTGACCCGAGCCCTGACATTCTAGACCTAACAACCGAACATTCGAACCCTAACACCCTAGCACTAACACCCTAACCCTAACACCCTAACCCGAACACCCTAACGCCAACACCAACACACGCACGCTTGATCCCGAGAACCCTCACCCCAAGATCCCATCCCTAGCACCGCAGCCTTAACATCCGACCCCTATGCCCACCGCAGGACGCTCGATCTTGAAATCCGCGCGGAACCTGCGTTTTTATATGATGAACAACGATCGCAAGAGCGCGCGCAGACATGATTTGACCAAATCCTGGCGAACGACACGTGCGCCTATGTTCGGGACACTCGTTTTTGAAATCCGCGTGAAATCTCTGGTTTTTGAAGGGCCCCGGCATGGGCGCGCAACGACGCGCGCGCGTGCACTTCGCCCCATTGGACGCGATGGGGTTCTTGCAAACGGATGTCGTTGACCACAGAAAGCTCGCGGAAAGCTATTCCGTGAAGATGATCGGGGGGAACGCCCAAGGGGGTTCGATAACCCCGCCACGGGGAGCGGTGGATCCGAATTCTGTCTTAAAAAGGAGAACCGATGCGGCGCAACTGACCTTGACTCCCTCGAGCGCGACCACCCCCCGCGCTCGCGCAATCATCCCGCCTGACCGCCCGCAACTTGGTTCGCAGAACCCCTGCGGCGGCGACTGGGGTGGATGCTGGGCGCTGGCTGGCGCGTCGCTGCGGCCGCGCTAGCGCGCGCAGGCTCGCGCGCGCAGCCGCCTGGCGCGACCGACGCGGCTGCGGTGGCGCTGAACGCTGGGCGCCTCCCAGTGCGTTTCGCAGGCCGCGCTGACGCGCGGGCAGTCCAGTGCGATTCGGCAACTTGGGCGGGCGCGGTATCATGGCGACGTCGACAGCGGTGGACACGACTATGATAGTGGCGACGATGGCGCCCATGATGGCCGTGGCGACGGCATGGTCAATGACGGCGCCGATGCTGATCGCGCCGACGACGACGATGGCGCCGTCGCGTCGGCTTGAATAGATTTCAACGCGCGCGCGACCGACGCGCGTGAGTGTCCCGCGTGGTGGCATGTCATAGGGATCGCACCCACCCCGCCTGAATTTTGCTCCAACAACAAAAAACACGCTCGCGAGGGCGTTCGAATGACTTTACGCGCGCGCGCAAGGGCGTGCGAAAGTGCGCGCGTGCGCGCGCGAGGGGCCCGTTTGGTCGCGTTTGATGAGCACGTTGGAAGCCCAATGGTATTCTTAAAAATTCGCAAGAGAGCGCGCGCAACGTTTTCGAATGCTGATGTTGCAAGCTCATGTGTTCTGTAACACGTTCGGGGCGCTCGTATTTAACATCCGTACAGAACCTTTACGTTTTTGACAATTGTCTGGGCGCGCGCGCGCGGCGACGCGCGCCCGTGCACTGCGTCATATTTGTCGCAAGGGGTTCCTCAGAACTGATGATTTTTGGGAAACGAGCGCGCGCGTAATCAGCTGCAGAGGATGGCGGGGAGGGCGTCGACACAGGTTTGGATGGGGCGGTGTGAACTCAAATGTAGGAAGGGCGACGCAGTAGAGCCATGCGCAAATTTCGATACGAAAAGGGAGGCTGTTAACTCCGCCCGCGGAGGAGCGGCAAATCCTAATTTTTTTAAGGCGAGAAATCTCCTGGCCGAACATGACGTCGCCAGCTCCACTGCTCGCGCAATCGTGCCACCCGCCCGCGTGCAACGTCGCTTGCCAAACCCCTGCGGCGGCGACTGCGACAACTGCTCGGCGCTGGCCGGCGCGCCGCTACGACCGCGCTAGCGCGCGCAGCCTCGCGCGCAGAGCGGCCGGGTAGTCTGGCGCGACCGGCGCGGCTGCAGTGGCGCTGACCGCCGGGAAATTCCCGGCGCGTCTTGCAGGCCGCGCTGACGCGCGGGCGCTTCTGCGCGCGCGGCTCGGGCGGGCGAGGCATCGCGGCGGCGCCGACAGCGGTGGGCGCGACGATGCCGGCGGCGACGCTGGCGGCGACGACGGCGATGACGACGGCCAGGCCAGCGGCGGCGCCGACGCGGATCGCGCCGACGGCGATGAGGGTGCTCGCGCGTCGGCAACGGAGATCATGGACTGATTTCGACGCGCGCGGGGCCGACGCGCGTTCCGACGCGCGCGCGAGATGCCCGCTTCATCGCTTTTGATGAGAATGTTTACAACCCAGCGATTGCTTAAGAATTCGCGCGAGCACGCGCGCAGACCTCATTTGCTCAAAAGTCACATTGCACAGCCATGTGCAATTATATGTTTTCGGGGCACGCGAACCTGAAGCCCTAGCGAAGCCGCGGATTTTTTGAAATATTTCGGGGCGCGCGCGCGGCGACGCGAGCGCGCGCGCCTCGTCCCGCATTTTTGGCGAGGGATTCTCATGAACTGATGACGTTTGAAAAACAAGTGCGGGCGCGTCGCATCACTCGATGAGGGCGAGGGGGGGCGTCGACGCCGGCTTGGCTGGGACGACGTGACTTCGCACTTATTAGAACGTATCATCATTCGCTGTCAGTTACTCATCCCCCGGGGGCGTCGATAACCCCGGCCTCGGGGGGGGGGCGGCGGGCCCTAATTCCATCGAAGAAAAGACGCCACGCCGCGCGAACTACGCGGCGACTGGGCGGCGACGGCGAGCGCGGCGCCGCCGCGCCGCCGGCCAGGCCCAGGCGACGGGCGGCGACGGGGCGGCGGCGGGGCGGCGACGGCGAGCGCGGAGCCGCCAGACCGACCGCCAGGCCAAGTTCTTCAGAAGAGAATCAGGGGCACAAGCGCAAGCACTGTTTGGCGAGCATAGAAAATTGACTGTTACTCTGATTCAAAAATCCCCCCCGCATTGATTGCATGTCTGCGCAGCGCCACGCAGACCGAAGCAAGACAAAGCGACGCAATGCCGCGCAATGCGTCACAAAGCAACGCGAAGCAAGGCAAATCAACGCAGTGCAAAGCAACGCAGAGACACGCAGAGCAAAGCAATGCCAGGCAACGCGCTGCAAAGTAAAGCAAAGCAAGGCAACGCGCGGCAATGCCAAGCAAAGGCAAGCGACGCAAAGACATGCACAGCAATGCGAAGCAATTGAGGGCAATGGAAAGCCATGAGAAGCAATGTAACAC